TATAAAATCATAGGTAAACTGGATGGAATTGGAGTAGGAGGAATCATTGTCAGAAAAGCTACTCGCGTATCGAACCAACATGCGATCAAGCACCAAGGTTTCTCCACTCGAATTGCGGCTTAGCAGAGAACCAGCAACTGCACTCGTTACATGTATGACGAATGTGTATGGGTGAGAGCATCCAACAACGCAGCATGAAGGATTGGAAGTAACCGCCAGAAAAAAACCAAATATCGACGGAATGAGCGAAACTATGCTGTGCTACCCACAAGTGGAGATCATTCAGGTTGGGAGAACAAGTCAAGATGCCCAATAACTGTTGGCTGTTACTAAGAGGATAAAGTGCAGGCAAGTCCAAGGAAATTTTCAAGCAATGAAAATGATTGAAAGGAAGCAAACTTCAAATTGACAGTGGAACGGCGAAACAGTGAGTGGATGCAGCCCTGCCATTGTCATGATATATGTGGGAACGACAACTTTGATCAGGGGTTGGTGTAAGGGCGCAAATGGTAACAATCACACAAAGGACTGCAAAGCCACAAAAATGGGAGGCAACTGAAACAGTCATCGGTATCGTGAACGTGAGCAAACGGCGCAACGTTAATCTCATGGAGCGATCTGAGAGCGGAACCCGAGTGACAACAGATGGCTCATTCCGTTATCCAAATCCGTGTGAGGAACTTAAGTTTTACTGCAGTTATCAATAACGTTTGGGCTGAAATGGTATGCTGATGCGTCACGCCATGCACCCAGGTCTTTGAAAACACGATGGGACGCCAGTTTAAATGTAGACTGGAAAATACCCCTCTAGGTTGAGCGAGGAGTTTCACTCTGGTGATGAGAGAAGCACCTCGCAGCTCCCACTGTTGGGCCAACTCTGATAGAGACTTAAGGAATCCGGCCTGTCTTTGAGTAACATGTTAATTGTTAAAATCAGTGTCTAAAGTTGTGGTGGCATCACAACTTGAAAATACTCATCCTAACCCGTCCGATCATCTCCCGTCATTGACAACCACACTTTATCCGCAATTTATCGGTTCCTTTCGACTAAATGCATTTTGCAAATACACTCCAAATTTTTCTACATTCTGCGAAGATATTCGAGTGTTTGTGTGCAACTGTATTGGTCATTCTCACTTCACGGATAGCTATAGGGTCACTGATCATTCACTTCTGTAACTGGAGGTGAGTGTCTAACAGAGGGCAGTTGAACAACCTAGCTGGCCACCGGCTTCTCTGTGGACTGCAACCAAACACAAAGAAGGCGAATGAGCCACCTGGCTGTCAACGGTGTTCATATTCGCCCCGCTGCTTTGCGGGTCAAGTCTTTAAGACCAAAGGCTCGTAACAGGCCCCTTAGTACAACCCTCTTGCTCGGCCTGCGCAACCGGGAAGCGCACTGCTTACACAGAACATGCAACATCGTATCCCTTCCTCTGACTCTCCCTCTTCGGCTTTTGGTGTTGTTACTCATGTGGTGGCACTCTACCAAATGTTTATTAAGCATATATATATATATATATATATATATATATATATATATATATATATATATATATATATATATATAAAGGTGCTTGCGTAGTAAAGCGATACTGACCCTTTTTCAGTACTTACTGTACCCCACTATTTTACAAAGGCTGTTATTCAATTCAAGCGAAGTGGCGTGGGCGTCCTTTGTGACAGATGAATACGAAATGATGCCCTTTGTACAGCTTATTTCGTAAGTTGTTTTTTCCGGTCACGTTCTCCTGTTACATTGTGCCTAGGATCAGGTCAGCACCATGTCAACAGGAAGGTGGAATGCATCATTGGCCACACACACACTGCAGTTGCCTCTAGCTTAGATTCGGATTCGACGTGGATTCAACAACTGGAACAATTGTTTTATGAATCACTATTTGGGGTTAATCGCATGATTTCGACGTGGGTTTTTCATCAGCATTGGCTGATCTGGTCCTTCTCAAGCATTCACCTGCCAACAGTAGACGACAGCACCCTCTTCTGCCTTGTCATCGGTGCAAAAAGAGATAACTGCTTCCTACTGAGCAGACACACGTTAGTCGGGCTCCAGCACACTGCGCTTGCACATCTATCATTACTTCACTTAAATAACTAGTCTAGTCTATCGGTAACCTCGGATTAACACAAATCAGGAAGAATTGAGGTACAGCTTGCACCAGCACATGGTCAGCGTATTTGGTTGACGTACGAGCATCTCATTGTGATGGGAGTGTTCTGTCAGAGTGAACTAGCGGATCAAAAGATGGAGCTAGACAACAAATACTAGACGGACATGACGAATCTGATCATTGGACGCTGCTTGGTAGGTGTTCGCAAGCGATACGGGCAGTAGTTTGTTTAACGGAATAAAGGAGGATACTTATTAGCCAATAAATATCGTTATTTATGAGTGTGCATGGACAATATACATTGGGGAGTTGTGCGTGCTAAACATGCTGTAATTTTTTCACAGTCGACTGCCAAATAAACGCCTGTCCCTGAAGGACTGAATTCTGCGAAACTCATCAAGCTACTAGACAACTAATGAATGGCATGATCCATATCCTCAGATAAGAGCACAAACCAAAATGCCTAAATGGTCTGACTGAGCAAGCCAGGCGATTGGTCCCAAGGCGATCAAAGTGTGTGTGTGTGGTGTTGTCCACACCATGTGTCAGGATTACAGGGGGGCATCATCATCATCATCATTATACATGTCAGCTAGAGATGGTAAAACACCTCCGCTATTGTACCGCAATACATAAAGGAAATACATACATACATACAATACATAAAGGAAAAATAAATACGACAGTTGAATGCCAGCTGAGCTACCAGCAACGGATAGGCATCGTTCCGGTAAGCTACTAGCCGGCTACTAGGCAAAAACAAAAATTTAATTACGTTTTACCCTACGAAATAAGATCGTAGATGGAGGGGGAGGCTAAAGGGATGGGGAGGGACAAAGAAACTCACAGCAGGAACGCCACTGAGGTCGGCTCCTTGCCATATCAGCAAGTGTATCCAGCCAAACGTGTTCACCGTCTTTTGGACCCCAACCAGGGAGCCGTGAAGCTCCACATGAGGCTAGCTCCGAAGTGAGGGACTTCATTCCTCTCGACCAAGTCATCGCTTGGCCACCTCTCCTCTTCTTCCACCCACATCCCTGGTGAGCAAACAACGCACGTCGAGGGAGTCGGTGGGCTGGCATGCGCAACACGTGGCTCAGCCATCGGAGCCTGGTGAGTGAAATGACGGTGCTGAGCGGTTCATTCCCTTTTCCTAGGCCGTAAACAAGGCGTCGAACACACTCGTTACTCACGCGGTGTTCCCACCAGATGTGAGCCAAACTGCGAAGGCACCGATGGTCGAACGTAAGTAGCCTCTTCATGTCCGCCGATCTTAGGGGCCAGGTTTCGCAACCGTACAGTAAGGTCGAACGTACCGCTGCATTGTACACTCTACCCTTCAGGGCGAGAGTAATGTCGCGCCGTCGCCATAGGTGGCGAAGGTTAGTAAAAGCACTTCGAGCTTTCGCTATGCGGTTCGTGATCTCGTCTTCGATCCCAAGGGCGCTGATACAACTTCCCAGGTAATTGAATTTCTGAACGACTTCTAGCTGATCCCCACCAAGGGTCAGCACAGGGGGCGAACCCTGCCAATCCTGGAGGAACGCTTTGCACTTCGGTGGTGCAAAGCAAAGCCCGAAGCGACTGACAGCCAGTGCTAATCTGTCCAGCGCGGCTTGACACGTCTGGGAGCTGTCACAGATGAGGGCAATGTCGTCTGCATACTCTAAGTCAAGAAGTCGTTCTCCTGGGAGTAGCTCCACACCTTCCAAGTCATGTCCTGTAAATGCAATCTCCATGACAGGGGGGCAGGGTAGTAGGTATGCCTGGACAAATTTCGTATGGTCCCAGACCATTATCACGAAGCCGAATGACGATCAATCCGGTTGCTGCCAATAAACGATATATAACCACTCGTGTGTGGCATCCGAGTTCCTGGTAGATGGGATAGAAGACATCGTACACTTTCAGCTGATGGTTGAAATCAACTAGAGTGCAAAAAGTGCGCTTGCTACTGACTTAGTTACTCCGCTATGCAACCAAGCTAGACAGTGCTCCCGGACTCACTCGCAGTCTCCTGATGTTTCCTCGGGTAAATCTTAATCAGCGCCAGCAAGCGAGAGAGCAAACACAGTAAAAAATTGATTAGGGGGGGTCTAATATAACATTTTATTAGAAATACAGTCAACCAGTTGAATCAAACCGAATTTTAACCACCTCTGTAGATTCTCGGTTTTTCTAACAGAAGTGGGCATTTGCGACAAAACTCTGCTGCTCTTAACTGGATCCTCTACATCTGTTTAGAGTAAATGACTTTGTACTTATCTCGAAACCAATGTCTAACAAAACATACCTGTTGGGGCCTAGGTCAACTTTTGTGATCGAGTTGTATCAGTCGCTCCCGGAACAAAGCACCAGAAGACTTATCGGTTATTTACTCGATACCTAACAAGTTAAACAGCTTCGCAGCAAGCTATTATGCGGAACAGAGGAAGAAGTGCGGGGCTTAATGAGTACGTCCTAGAAGTCCGATAAATGCGCTTTGCTCAGGAGTAGATAATTCCAGTTAGGACTGCGTGTCGCAATCCAATCACACAACGAGTACTACAAATGACCTCTCTAAGCTCTCATTCAGCTGTTGTCGGTGGCCTAGGGGCAGACCCTTCGGCGGCCATCCTCAACCCCCCCCCCTGATTTGAGCACCTGCTGTCTGTACCTGATGAGATCGGCTAAGTACGAAATCAATGGTGGGTAACACCCAATCAATCCGGCTTCTCCATCCGTTACGGTCCCAGTAATCGAATGGACCAAGGTTCACTCCAGTGCGAATCGCAGTCCACATTGAGATTGCACGGTGCAATCCAAACAAACGAAAACTGCTTCAGAATGACTCCAATTAATAAATATTTTTAACATATTGCTCTTCAGGATGAAGCCGAAAGACTGTTCACCCAATGTGGTCGGTGGGACTTGCTCATTCAGTTGCATCAGACCATGGGACATTGGGAAAAGGCACTGAAAGTGGCCGCCTCTCACAATCGCATTGCATCACGAGCCACAAATTATGCATACGCCAGAGAGTTGGAGAAGATGGGATTGACACACTTGGCCATCGAACAGTAAGTCACAAGTCAAATTTGACTCTTGGTCATTGACGTTTTCCCTCAAACAAATATGCGAGGGGAAGTGCATTGGGAAAATGAGGACACCAACCGGTTTCATTAGTTCCACAAAAACAAAAGCTCTCGGAAGCGATCTCTTGCGGGGATTCGTTATTTCGCGATATGATTCAGGGGTGTTGTTTTAATCATCGGATCTGGGAACCTTTTATTTTCAAAGACTCGACAACCGCTGGGATTATAAAATTCGCCTATCGTCTCAAACCAGCTTTTACAGAAAGGAAAATTGAATTATAAGGATCTGTAGAAGTTGTATCACACTCCAAATAAGTTGAGCTATCCTAATCACTTGCAAAGTATGGAGAAAATGCCTGGTGTCAGTTTCTTCACGTTGAATTACTGCTATCAATAAAAATGTTGACTACTCAGGACTTCATAGTGATAATGTGGCTCATATGAGCGCATTAGTCGATTGTTACCGCAGTGGTATGGGTCTATGTGACTTTCATCCGAACACTGCAACATCTGGGACGCTTCACGTGTAGCAGATGTCATGGGCGAGACAATGGAATAATGGTATAATACGAATATGTCCCGTAAGATGGTTTGCGGTATTAACGTTTGTACAAAATAAAGTTGCATAGGTGAAAACGCGTCTGTGAACTCACCAGATTATCCACGTTAACACAGGTCTATCCGTCTACCCCGATTTCGTGAACCCAATGTTTGCCTGTACTATATCGTCACTCAATGAACAGAAATCGGATCAAGTAATGTTGGTGGTGTAAAGCATCGTCCAGTCGTTTTTTAATGGGTAGCATGAACGCGGAAATGACAAAAGTCGAAAAAGCGTTCCACGACTGACAAACTCGAAAGGAAAAAATAACTCCGGCGGCATTTCAGCCGACTGTATGGGGTGGCAAGTTTCCACTTAGGACCCCTCAAATCCGTGCTGCCGTTAAGCTTCAGGGGGGTAGTGCCAGGCGTGACCAGGGTTTTTCAAGATCTGAAACGCCAGGATGAGGTCACTCCGTAGGCGGCGATATCTTCCGCTGTACACTCCCAGGGTTCTCAGTCGTCTGTGGTATTGCAGGTGAGACAACCCCTTCAACTTTCTCGTTGCCCTTCGCTGGGCGATATCCATCGCAGCTAGAACACGTTTTAAGCAGGGTTGCGAAGCCTAGATCGCGTACTCTACATGAGGCCTCACATATTCAGTGAGCATTTGGGAGAAGATGGGGGGATCGAACCGCCCGAAGGCCTTCCGTAACAGACCAACATGTTGGTTTTCGGTTTTGAACGCCCCCAAATGACTGCGCCGAACAGCTGAGATCGTTTTGGATCACCACCCCAAAGTCTTGCTCTTGTGAAGCGGTTTTCAGCATGTCGTCTCCAAGCTTATATGCGTACATGAGTTTGGGGCGGACATGCACGGTTTTGCACTACACCGTGTTAAACGGAAGTAGTTTAACCATTCAAAGATGTGAAGTCTCGTTGCAGCATATCGGAGCTCGGAGGATAACACACACCCTGAGGCACACGTCACTCCGCGGTGTCAAGTGGCGAATGAGACTTGGGCCGCTCGTCATTTAGTTCGATCAGAAGCGTTGGGAGTGCAAATGTTCCGATATAGAGTCCCGTAAACAACTAGTCAGCAACTTTGGATTTATTCCGAGGACAACACACGGCATATATTTTTCAAGTGAATCGGTTGTAACAAGAATACCGGTCAAAGTTGGATGACAATAGTCGACTCACAACCCCTTAGATTCCATGCGGTTTACCGCGCAGCTAGACCGTATTGATGAACGCAGAGAAGTGTGGATGCCGTTTTTTGTCAGAAGCAAATTTCCAAGGTAAAGGTAAGGCTTATGGTAAATGAATATGCTGGCGTCACGAATGCCGCCTTTGGAGACAACAACGGCAACCAACCGCATTTGCTACAAAGAGATCTAGACACTTTGATTTGAAGACAAAGGATTACCAAACCGATAAGGATTAACTCGCAGAGAATTCCTGTCGCGTCTGACAGCCGATTTGAAATATGAAATAATGGCTTGGCTAGAGGTGCTCATCGACGGAGAACAGTGCGTCAGATTGTAAAAATTTGTCTATGTATGGTCAGATCATATGTGACAATTTGTTGCTACCCTAATTGCTTTATTGTAAGAAATAATACAAATCAGAATCGACCTAGTTTGGACTAATCGGAATTGAAATAGGCTTAGCTCGGACCCAGAGTTAGCGTCGACGCGGAAGTAATAATGCACAGTGAGCGCATATGGAAGTCGTAGTAAGCACTTCGAACTTGCACTAACTAAATAGGCCCATTAAAATGAGCACAAGAAGATATCGTTCAATAACAATCACCACACTAATCGTTTACACTCTCCACCGCATCCATAATGTGTGCAGCTCGAGGCAGCCGTGAACAGTGTGTAACATTCGGCATACGTGTCTTCTCGTCCAGGAAATAGCCCACAAGAATCAATCCGAGCGTAATGCGACCAGCTGCGTACCTATGCGATCCACTGAGAGGTTTTGATTGTTTTGAGGGCTGAAGGTGATTGAAAATACTTGTGGCTCGGAGTGCGGATGTAGGTGTATTGTTCTCCGAACTTGGCGTTTCAACCGCGAATGCTTCGTTACTAGGCCAAATAACGTCATCGGTTCAACTTCCAGAGGGCTGCTTAAACCAGAATAGCCGACGGTCAAAGGCGAGGTGAAACCTGCCTAGGACCTGGGTTTGAAACTGTGGAGGTGCTATTTAGGTGAAAATGATTCGTCGTGGTCCGTCGCTGTACTATCAGTGTCCTATGGTTAGACGTTTTAGTCAAAGGTTTTACATGACAATCTTAATCGTGCTGTCGCCTTTGTCTGGATGCCCTGGTAATGTTGCGGACCGCATAGAACCTTGACAGTCGTATCCCCTTTGACCTCATCCTACACCAGCAGTAGCAAATCTTCAAGTGTGCCACGTTAGCTGTTGCATATAACGAGGCTGGTAAACGAAAAGCGGCCATAATTATGTCTCAGGTTTTCCTTTCTGGTGGTTTCTACTACACTCTCCTTGATTCGGTTGCAGTGTATTCATCTGTGGTCCCCCCCCCCCCAGTACATATGACAGCACTAGTAGTGATGTACTGCCAGATATCAATGCATGCTGCCGACTCTCTTAGACTACTTTCAATGCTCACACCCTAAGATAGAAATGGTAAATTATCACACTTCATCATCATCTTAATCACACGTTATCTGAAGGTGAGAAACACGCCTCAGCTAATGTCCTGCAATAAAAAATGGTGAAATATTAAAAAGAACACTAAAAAATTCAAAAATCAAGTAATATAACATTAAAGATCATATTACTAATTGGCTTTGAGACCGTGATTGAAGGGGGAATCTAAAGTAGAGGGGGACAGACAAAGAAACACATAGCACTAACGCCATTGGAGTCATCTGCTCGCCATTTCAACTAGTGTGTCCAACCAAATGTGTTCGTCGTCCTTCGAACCTCAGCCTGGCAGTTGGGATGTACCAACCGACGCGAACTTCGAAGTGAGGGTTTTCATTCCCCACATTTGAACTCACCGTCTTTAAAACTAGACTTCGTGAGGGGCATAGATGCCGCGTCAACTCCTCCTAGCTCTTCCTCTAGCCATTGTCTAGAAGTGCTGCGTACGTTAATGAACTAGACACGGACCAAGCTGGAGTGGGCATCGTTCTCAGCTCTAGGGATAAATCCAATCTAGTTGAGTGAGTTCCCTGAATAGTTGTCCGTGTACAGGCCATCTGAAAATGGAACAGATTTTGCGCACGCAGTAAAGGCGTGTAGTGCTTAACTGTCGCTGTTCCCATGCATTTTCATGTTGTTAAAATGTCTTCTACAATAAAGTAACACACGGCTGTGTAAGACAAGAATAAGCGCTATTTATTTATTTAAGTTTGATAGTAGCGTAAAATGCTCGAGTACGTGAGCTAAGAAACTCAGTTAATGCTGTTGAGCACATGTGTGGGCGCACGGATCGTGGTAAACGAGTTCCAGAAAAGCAACCATTATCGGCCACCACTAAGCAGCACTGCACTGGAGCGCATTAGACGCTGCTATGCTACACAGAGTAGCCCAGCTTCTGACTAGAAATTGGCTTGAAGTGGACCACATCACTGTGGCTTGAGATGTCCTGGTTTCAGGTGGGACTGTCATACGTTTTAGAGCACTCACCTCGACTCTGGAATTGCGTCGGTCCGCTGTGAATCTAATTTTACCGGGAAGCAGAGAAAAGAATCCCAGCGATCTACCATCATGGAATCGTTGTGGTTCATAATAATCCAAACATTTCACGGCGCCCTGCATATTAAGCCTTCACATTCTACTGCTTTAAGATCACCTAGTTTCAGGAGAATAGGGCCTCATTTGTCAAACACGACACCAAAGCTTCTGCACGAGACACAAAAGGTCGCCACTGCACTGGAAACTGAATATCCGGAAGTTCGATGGAACTGCACAGTGTGATCAGATAGGCAATCAGAATTGAGTGAAAATAGATCCATTCAACGCTAGCGAAACCAGCTGGACTGAGAATACTGAGGAAACGAAGATGATGTGATTAACAGGTAAATGTCTCGGGCAATTCCATATAGTCCGACTAGCTGATCACGGAAAATAACCGTCAACTGGGTCTTCGAGAACAAGATCGATGCTATAATTAACGATTAAACACGCCATCTGGATCGTCTGACACAGGCTGAGGCACATTTCGTAAATACAGAAGCTTTATGTGGATTGGCTTCTATATGCAATTAGATCCTTCGAACGTTTTCGAACAAATGACTTAGAAGATATCGCACCTGCGCCGCTTAAAGATGGCAAGGAATGGACTCCCCCAGTTGAAAGCCGAGACATAGAAGAGCTTAATTCCAATAACTGCAGTGGCAATATTCATGATGAGTAGCACAATAATTAGACTAGTCATAATGGAATCGACTTGGTGCTGATGTTT